CTGCCTTTAAGGTCTAAAGATAAAGACTGTCTGCAGGCTCATTAGCTTAAAGCTAATACATAAAGGGTGCCGAGGTGTGTACGTTGGCAGATGCTCACTTAATTCTCTCTCGTGGTGATGTAATGTAAGAAAATACATTTAAAGCTAATAATAAATCCGCGTCTTTCTGATATGCGCACTAATATTAGCAGGAAGCCCAGCTGGAAGCTTGTAGTTTCATTTCGATTTGTGGGATGACATCACTCTGGTGATACAGGCAGCACCGTTTTAGGATGTTGTTCATCAGATGTTTACAGATGTTGGCGCTCTGTGGCTCTGCGTGACAGCAGGTGGTGTTCATCACATCTGGAGCAGATTAGCAGACATGAGGTCGAGACGCTCACTGCTCGCAGACACACCACAAGTGTTTACAGTGATTATCACTGCAACAATCCGACACAAGATCAGGACTGAAATACGTACGCAGGCACATGTTTGGGGGCTTCTAAAGAGGCCATGCGTGACTCCTCTGTCATTTAATGTTTACTCTGAGATATTGATAACAGATTCTCTATCACATTTACTTCATCAGTTATCAGTTTTAGGATTGTTTGCTGTGTGGTTGATTAATTTTTTAAAAATGTAATAAAGTGCAATTTTTCCTTAGACTTTCTCTTAGCAGTACACTGTTGATGTAACGATCTAGCTTTAGTTAAAGAAGAGTGTGTAAACTCAGTGCATGAGAAAAATAAAAGCCATTTTATTTATAGAAACCTTATTTTATTTAACCATTATTTAAGTCATATTTAAAGACAAAGGAAAAATAAAATAAAATTTCTGGGCGCTGGAGCCTCTCCTGGCTCTCTGTATGTTAGTCCTTGTGATTGGCTGGCGGCCTGTCCAGGCTGTATTCACCTGGACTGGGATAGCTCATGTGGTAGGTGCTACAATAGGGCTGTTGGCCCACAACAGTTGGTTTCAGATCCACTGTTCAGTTTGTTTGTTTGTTCCCTGTGTGCACTCCAGCTTCCTCCCACAGTCCAAAGACATGCAATTAACTGCTAAAAGAGTTCTGGTGAGCCTTTACACTGTTCTCAGCCACACTAACACTGGAAGCCACGATGACTGAAACAATGTTTATGACACTCCTAATTATTGATTTAAGCGTAATTCTTTATATTTCCGTGAATCTTTTGGCAAAGTTTTATATTCAGATA